CACATATGCATGCACACACGTACACAAACACATATAACAAAAGTGTTACAGAACCACTATCCTTATCTCTGAATTAGTCTGATATTTTCTTCTCTGCTCCACTTTTCTAATTAAAAAAAAATATTTAAAAGATGTGAACATATCCATAAGGAGAAGAAGAAGGGAAGTGGAGAGACAGGAAAGGGGGTGGGGACAAAGGTGTGGATTCTTTCCATAAAGGATGACTGGCATTGTCTAGACATCTTTATGGTCATCACAAGTAGACTGGAGTGTTACTGGCACGTAGGAGGCCAGGGCTGGGGATGCTGTGAAACACACTGCTGTGCACACACAATCTCACAAACATGATTATCTAGGCCCAACTATCGATGGTGATGTCTAAAAAGGGAAATAAAAATAACAAAGCAAAAGGTACATTATAAAGTTTACCAAAAACATTCCAAACTTTGAGAATAACACTAAATAGTTAAATTCAGAGACACTATGGCATCAGCATTAAAGATTTATCTCAATCGGTTTGTGATTGCCTAGATGAACACAAATAGGGTAGATAATTAACTTAACATTCTAGAGGTAAGTATATCACATTGAATTAAAAAATAAGTGTTATAAGACAAATGGTGCATGGAAAAAAGTCAGCGTATAGAAGCAATGACTCTTCTGAAGTCTATGTAGCTAGTAATTCTATTCTTAATTTCTTGAGGTGAGAAAGAATGCTATTTACCTCTACATTCTCCACTGGATCCAATCCAACACCTTCTAAATAATAGGCACGGAAAAAGTTCTTGGCAGAAAAATGAGAAATAGATGCTTTACATTTACTGAGGCATTGAATTATATCTCAAAAGTATACCTCACCAATTAAAAAACAGTGTATCCTTCTTAAACAGCAATGAGGAGGCTTAACACGGGGCAGATCCTGTAAGAGGTGAAATCAACACAATCCACATAACCACAATTACATTTTCATTCAAAATGCTGGAGAATCATCTTGTAGAATTCTTGACTACTACAGAACATTAAATAAGCAATCTAAAAGTGATCAGAATACCTGGTACTTGCTAATTGTCATTTGTGTGTTTGTATAGTTTCGTTTGATTTCTTCAGTAACCAATTACAAAAAAAAAATGCTATTATTATGCTTCACAGATTTATAGATAAGGACTTAGACCTAAGTGTTTTAGATTTCTTTATTTTATTTTATGTACATGGCTGTCTTGCCTGAACATACGTATATGCACCACGTGTGTGCCTGGTGCCAGCAAAGGCCAGAAAAGGGCATCAGATAACTTAGAACTGGATTTACAAATGGCTGTAAACAACCACATGGGTGGTGAGAACTGACTCAGGTCCTCTGCAGGAGCCACTGAGCATCTCTCCAGCCCCAGCCTAGAGGGTTTTAAAAAGCAGAACAAGATTGTGTGCTCAGTGAATACCACACCCAAGATTGAACTCTGAGACTGAGCAAGGAATGCATTTTCTCTTAAACAACCTTTTCAAAACCTTTTAAACAAATAATAAAAAACTCACTGATAGGCTATTAGTGTCACTTAACAAAATATGATAAGCAAAATGACATTGAGGCTACTTATGACTGAAATTCTATGTACTTAATATGGTCTAATCTAACCTAAGTAGTGAATTAATATCAAAATATCACTCTATAAATAAAGTCTAGAAGAAAAAATATAAGACCAGCCAATAGGAAAGCAAGTTTAAAAAAAATCAAAATCAAAGTTTGTTTTGAACTGAAAGATGAACCTTTACCATTAAAACAGCAGGAATATCTTCTGTGTTGTAGACACATACTAATGCTTGGACAGAAGAAGCTTTCTGCAATGACATGAGTCTATGCTACATGTACATTATTAGATTAAAAAAACCTTTAAATTATACTAGTTGGCCCAAATATGCCTTGCAAAGATCTGAGAGTTGATATATTTTTTTAAAAATGAGAAGGAACAGAAAAATAAAGACAATGGAAAAGCTAGCTATGGTGTAAAACAACTTCCTTGGGATTGTTCAGCCTAGGGTGACAAAAGAAAGGGAAATTCCACTGATCCTCAGCAGAATATATTGCCACAAAAATTTCTAAGAAAAAAGCATGTTCAGAGGCTGCTAATAAATTCTTTTAATTATTAGGGGGAAATGCCATGCACTAGTTAACCACCAAGGATGACTATGAATTATGTTTATAAATTGCTTACTTCTACATCTGATACCTTTTCACAACTAAACAATGTTACCATAATGATGCAATGTGAAGACAGGATCCAGGCATCTTCTCAGAAACTCCTACTCTCAACTGGCAGCAGTAGAGCTACCATTTCTTCTCACTACTCTACCAGTGAAGAACTATTCAACAGGGAAGACTGCATTGTTTCCATTTCTTCCACTAAACATGAAAGGATGATTGTGCCTATTAGTAGAAACAGTGCTTTGTAAAACAAATTATTAGGTAGGCAATAAGTAGGACCCTGTACAAGAGTCGGTCCTTGGAGCTCAGTTTAGAAGAGAGCATAGATGTGAATGATAGGAAGTTTCTTCCAGTATATAACACATGGTGAACTTGTGCCTAATAGCATCATGTATGAATGTATAACAAACACATAGCTAATTTATGAGAGTTTTTAATGTCATTACTTTAGAACCAATGGACCAGATAACCCTACGTGCTATCAAATAGAATTCTTTCAGGCATTAACAATGAAGCACCTCTGTGAGTTTTGTTAAAATATATTCTTGTTCCATAGATGAAGGCATTATTTTAGCAAAGGATAAGTAAATTATTTACCAGATGGTAGAGAAACCAAACCACCAAAAATAACTATCAGCTTTTGATCTATTAGTATCATAATATATACCCTACCAAATGTGGAAAACCACCATTATTAAGTGTACTTAAAGACTATTTCTTCAGGAAACTAAAATGTCTATACAGATTTAATAAAACTGATTGAGACCTACAGTTCTCTTTTAGAAGTTACATTTCTATTAACTCAATTTTCTCATAGCTCACAACTGAAAGTAATAATTATGAAATAAGGCTAACTTAATTTTCAATTGCATGTGCATTTCCCTGATCCATTTGTTTAAAATTTTATGTCCTCTTTTGTACAGTAGTGCTTTTAGATATTATTATTCAAGACTTTTTAATATACTACATAAAATATACTGATCTGTCAAATTTCCTATCCAGCCACACTTGCAATAACTGTTACTTTGTTGGTATCTGGTGAAGTGACTTCTCCCTCACAACTCCAGCTATTGTTCTACAGCTGTTAGCGTTACAGAATAGGGCAATGTAAGGACCCAACGGAGACTGAGCTATTGCTAATCTCGTGACACTGTGGGGACATTTCAATGTTGTAGTGTTTAGTCTTCCTAGACAGTAATAGGAAAGAACCTCTATTCTTATCTTCCTTTGTTATGAGGAAAATTTTATTGTATTTCCTGCAAATACCATCATGTCTTGATAATTATTTTTTAATTACATTTTTCTGGTTTAATTTTAGATAAGAACTATTTTTGATTTGTATTTTCTAATTAATTACTTATGTTTCAGTGTAAAAATCACTATGTTAATTTTATATTACATAATTTTATATGACTTCCTGGATTCCTCTGCTTATTACTACTGATTATTCTAAAAGAGAAAAGGACTATCTACTAAGCGTTATGACAGAACTGGAAGGAAGGAGAAGCAGAATTTGGCATGAAGAATTCATGTTAGATACTCATCAATCTAATATACTTTACCATATATCAAAATAAATGCCAGGGGGAATTTTAATGGTTAAAAAAAACTAATTTAAAAGAGAACATATATATATATATGTATATATATATATAAATATTTATAGATTTGGAGATGAAAAAAGAGTGTCTAAGGACAGGCATAATGGAAAAATATCAACAAAGAAAACTCAACTGCAGCTGTACTAAGCATGCTATCTCCAGATGATCAAAGGAAATTAATAGACAAGCATCCAACGAGGAATAAATTTAACAAAATAATAGATAATTAGACAAAAATCCCAATTCTCAAACCAAGTCTTATAAATTAATAAGAGAAAACTAGTAAATATCCAGAAGGAAGTGGACAGGAAGAATAAAGGGATGAACAGGTGACTCATATCACAATAAAATAAGATGAAATTCAGATAATGAGATGTGATATTTTTGTGGCCTATTCAGTAGACAAAAATTTGATGCTGTGAAATAAAAAGTTCAAGCACACGTGAAATTAGCACAGAAGATGTTAAGAACTTTTCTGGAAAGCAACTCTAAAATATGAATATAAAACCCAAAATTCACACACACACACTCAGATATGTAGGCAAAAAAGTATGCATAAAGAAGACCATGGCAATATTACTTACATAGCATTTAGAAGAAATTTCTATACCTCAAACAAATATTTAGTTCATAATATATTCTTATGATAGAACAAAGTGCAGTCACTTAAATTTCTAAAGAATAGTAAATGACTTGAAAATAAGATTATATGACAGCAATTGAAAAACGGTATTAAGTTATTTATAGTGTTATACTAAATTTATAAATCCAAAAACTCTACTTTGAGAGAGAAGGGGCTGAAACCTAAGTATAACAGCAGTTCATTTTAGGAAAGGGATATGGTGGTACTTCATTCTTTAAAATACCTTGAGCAATGTTTCAAGTATTCTATTGTAAACACTTTCCTACTTTTATAAAGAAATGCAAAAAAAAAGAAATGTTACTTTTCAAACTAGAATGAGTCTGTGTAAGTATGCCATCTAATAATACAAGGAAGCCTTCAAAAAAATCAAGAGAGCGTTTTCTAAATGGTCTTTTTATACAAGGATAAAGAGGCACTCCGTTTTTATAATGTAGGATTTTTCTCATATGGACAACACCTCTAAAATACTTGGAATACGTGTAGAAATAGCCCGAGGTTCGCTCAGGCGTTCTCACAGAGCCAGCCCCGACAGCCCAGCGGGACTGCGGGCAGTGCTTACCTTTCTCGCTCACACTCTCGCTCTCAATCTCAACATCGTCACAGCTCGTGTACTCAGGTGTGGACGCCAACTCCTCCTCAGAGCTGCTCAGGGAAACCTGGCGCATTTTACCTCCTTTCTTGGATTTGTGAGGCCGCGGCGGAGGGGGCCTCACTGACTCCGACTGGTCTGAGCTCAGAGAATCGTTTCTAAGCATGGTCTCCATTTTCTCCCGTTTGGTTTTCCTGACAGCAGAGCTGGGATCTAAGTGGTGGTGCTTCCGCGGGGAGTCAGCTCGCCTGGTGTCCAGTCTATCGACCGGGATAGGGCTCCTCCGGGGGGTTGGGGGACTGTGGTTTGTGGTCCTTTGTGGATAAGAACTTTGCCCCTGAGCCTCTCGAGTTCTTTCCATAGAATAAGAGCGTTGACTCTCCATCGCAGCTCTACGTTCAGATACAGATCTCTGCCTTGAGGGTCGATCCATCCTTAGCAGAGAAATCCTGGAATCTTCGAGTTCAGCGTTTGCCAAAGACACATCACTGTGCCTTCTCTCGTGTCGTGCTCGGGACACTTCAGCGTGGATCCGCATTTGTTCTTCATAGGGTTGTGGCTTGACCGGATACCGGGCCAAATTCGGATCGCTTCTGTAGCGAGCCTGGTACTCCTCCTCCCTCCTCTGCCTTTCATATTCATCTCTGCTCTCCACATCCTCGTCGTCTACAAGATACTCTTTGGAATGTCTACGGCCTCTCCTGTTAGAATCCCTATAATTTAAATGGTCAGGTTCTTCATAAAACTGAGGTTCCCGTTGAGATCGTCTATCAGCATAATCTGATGGCGATCTAGGCATTGTGCTATCTGAAGGAACATACTGTGGATACTCCTCTCTCTCTTCACTCTGGTCGTATCTTCGATTTTGATCCCGGGACAGTGATGGACTTCTTTTCCTAGTAACCAAAGAAAAAGACTCTGAGATGACATTTAAGCAAGTTACACTTCACTGATTCAATGCCAGCTGGATGGATACATTCGGGTAGATCCTTGTGTCTTTTTTCTTGTGAAGGACATAGCTTAAAAATACTTTAATATTGTAATAGTAATCTATACAACACGGTGTGTGTACCTGTGCCTGTGTATGCATACATGTGTCATGCAAGTACGTGATATAGAACATTCAATTTACTTTGGGCATTACTTTTATACAAGTGACTAAAGAAAAAAAACATTATCGTAAGTGTATAACATGAAAATTACACTGCAGTTACAGGATCTGAATTTCTCAGTTACACTTATTGCACCTAATCTTGGAGAGTCTGTATTTTCAAAGAAATGTGAATTATACACTTAGACTGAGATTATTTTAGCAAACAGATATTGGGAAGCACTAATGTTGCACACTGAATTATCAATGAGAAACACATAAATGAATGCAACACTATTATCACCAATCTTAAGATGCTGAATGGTCCTAAGGAACTATGATCTTATAACACTGATCCTAAGCTTCAGCAAGATAATTTGTTTAAATGAAACCTTAAAGTATTAAGGATTTCCCATGGAATATTATCAAATTATGCTTAGTACTACAGAAGTATCAAAAGTCAACTTTATTCCTACCTTGAGGAAACAACACAAAAGATTTGAGAGTAAGTATAAAGTAAATAGTCTTCTTAACAGAGGAATCCAACTACAGACACAAATAAGAAAGTTTACCTTCCAGTATAGAATTCAGTTCCAAAAGAATGATCGTTAATATACAGTCAGTCCTTTGCTAAAACATCTAAGTGGTTTTGTTTTTTATCATTCCATAGTAAACGAAAATTCAATATTAAACTAGCAATCACTTTGTTGATTATGAAATAGGCCTGGAACATCTGAATCATAGTATACATGCTCATTTCTGTTGGACTTAAGTACAATGGAATAGTGGTTGAAACCTGAAATTGGAGGGATTATTGGTCCTGTTAATCAAAATAAAACTTGAAGTACAACAATTTAGTATATTAAAACTCTACCAAAAGCCAGGTAACATTCCATTGTAAGATTCTTGAAAGTAAATAATCTACTCTGTTACTCTGACATATTATATTGTGACAAGAAAATATCTAACAAGTATACCATGAATCATTTCATACATACTGTATTTTAAATTTTAAAATTTCTATGTGCTCAGACACTACTGTATTTTCAGGAACTAAGTAAACTCCATTAAAATTCAAATATGTCTAATCTGTATGGTGGTGTCCAGTCTGCACAAAGTCTTATGAAATAAGCCTTAGTATTTGTTATTTTCAGAAAAAAACGATAATGTGTACATTTCTCTAAAAGGACAATAAAGCATTCAATAATATTCAACCCATGACTAATAATTCAAAGCAATTCACCAAGGAAGTTCTGGGTTAATCATTCAAAGATTCTGAGGATTTAAGACACACAAGGCAAAAGTACACTTTTTTTTCTAATAAAATATATGGGACACTATATAGCACCTGAAGTTTTCTTCTCTTGCATTCTATTTATTCCTATTTCCTGATATAATGATAACACATACTTAAATTCCCTTTATTTCAACTCACATACTTCTCATTATTAAACTACAGGGTAAAATTATTTTTCTCTTTGACCATACTAAAGCAATGTTACAGGAACCCATGAGTAGAAAACACATTCGAAAGATCTTGTATCTATCTACCTTACCAAGCAGCACTTTCTGTCATTGCTGAGAATTTCTAGTCAAGTACTAACTCCCCAGTCATTTCTAAATATTCCACTTGTGTACTGCACCAGATGTTCCATTACAAATGTTTATCTAACTATGCATAGTAATTTGAGTAAGAAAACATATCAATTACTTAAAACTTTTTACAAAATCATAATGATTGATGAGAAAATGGCCCCCAAAAAACTTTTTCCAAATTTAAGTTACTTTTCTAATATTCCAGAGGCAGTTTGAATTTATATATTATATATTAACTTCATCCTGCTATTATTATAATTTCCATTGGCAGTCTTAAATGGTTTGTGTTAACGATATCACTATAATACTGACCACATTTACCAATTAATATCAAATCTCTAAAACTGGAGCAGTAGACATTTGAAAACATTTATGAGGATAATAAGAGAACACATGAAAAGACAAGCCTTAATATTTGTATATTTTTAACTCTTAGCTAATGATATATGAAACTTTTCAGAATCTCAGTGATACTGACAGTCATTCTATAAATTTGAGTTTTATATTACTACAACGTAGCACTAGCTACATATTCCAATAAAAAGTCTTACTGGTAAAGATCATTTAAGAACACCATTTTATAAATAAATATATTGAATCACATAAAAATTAAAAATTAGAAGAAACCATCATCTTTTTACATTTAATAACTTATTTTAAAAACGAAAGATTATATAGGTAATGTTCAAAGATTCAAAAATTTGAAATGATACTCCATCTTTTTAAATGCTTTGTGAAACATGGATATTGCAAAAATGAGTGAAAAGAATACTTCATGAATACAATTATATAATGCTAACTCCAGAGTTTAGATTAAACATTGCAAAGTCAATATTCAAAGCTCTTAAACTATAGGACATCATGAATTTAACCAAATCTATGATCATGTGGAACATGCAATATATACGTCCCATGCCAATAATTCCAGTTTTAAAAGCTTAACAAATCAAATTATATTTGTAAAAAGCATGAAAAAATTGTACACATTACAATTAATATTTAGCATTTTTATTTTTACCTTTGTTCAACCAATGCACATCTGTCGGGCAGGAGGACTCAGGCTGATGAAAACACATCAGTATTATGCCAGGCAGTGCCTCCTCTTAATCCTTCTAGCCCTAGCAGAATCATAGGAGCCGTCCGTAATCAGACGAGGTGAAAGACTCTTGGTTTGCAATCATTTTATTACAAAACTCAACTACTGAAAGTCAAAACAGCATTCATTCAAGGAGGAAGCCACAAGATACTGCAGCGAGGGACGTGTTAGTGGGTTATTTTAATGCTGTCACTGTGTGGCTGGATATAGCTACAGGTCAAGTAAGAATGTACTCTAAGGAGGATTATGGTACTTAGCTGATTACTGCCTCACAATACTGAACCGAACACAATCCGGATCCAAGGCATTTGTGGTCACTATACTTAAAACTGGCAGCTTTACAAATTTATAAACCACTTTCCCCTCGATAAATCACACTCCTTTTAAAATGGCAGAATTCAGTATCATTAAAACTGATTAATAATTCTGTTCTTCAGCTTTTGTCATAAAACACAGAGCAAACCCATTCTGTAACTTTTTTCAATGTTTAATTTTGTTTTTTAAATCTAAAGACAATGTTCCCCCTCAAAATTAAAAAAGGAGCAGGTTTTATAGATATTCATTTTTTATTATTATCATCATCATTATTATTATTATTATTATTATTTTGGTTTTTTTTTTCGAGACAGGGTTTCTCTGTGTAGCTTTGCACCTTTCCTGGATCTCACTCTGTAGACCAGGCTGGCCTTGAACTCACAGAGATCCGCCTGGCTCTGCCTCCCGAGTGCTGGGATTAAAGGCGTGCGCCACCACCGCCCGGCCTAGATATTCATTTTTAAAAGTGCTCTGCAAACTAAGAAGTGAGACACTGATTATAAATCCAATTATGTTCATTTAATTTATAATCTAAACATCTCCATCTCATTGTCTGAAATCCTTTACCTCCCATAATAAAAACAAAATAGCAGAGTTTTCCTACAGTCAAAATGTTAAAAGTTAACATTATACTTTTGAAAAACTGTGTCTAAATCATTCCAAACAACTTCTATACTGTATGAACAAGGCAATGTTTGAGGTCTGAGCGAAGAGACAGGGTATTATGCTATTGGTTAGTCTCACATTGTTAGGTTTATACAAGAGTCTAGGAACAGGTGGTAGCACGGTTCAGTCATTTGTGGAGTGTTCACCTACAAAATTTTCTTCTAGAATTCAGTTAGGTCTTAGGAGCACTGCGGGGTAAATAGAGATAACAGAGTGATTCTCTTTTTTTCCCCTCCTGTTTTTGTTTGTTTGTTTTGTTTTTTGTGGCAGGGTCTCCCTACATAACCCTAGATGTCCTGGAACTCAGTAAGTAGACCAAGCTGGAAAAGATCAACCTGCCTCTGCCCGCTTAGTGCTTATGAATTAAGTGTATGGTACCAATTACGTGTATGAGCCAGCAATGCTTATTTTTTTAAAATTTATAAGATGCCTAGTAAAGATTTGCAGAATCTTCCAAAAGAAAGTAATATTCAATATAATTATTTTCCAAAAAGATGTTAACTAATGATAAAATACAACCACATGGAGTCCACAGTTCTTATCAATTAAACCAACCAGTTTCACCAGAGCATATTTTGCTTCTTCCAAATTTCAAAGCCTAGAAAATGTCAGTCATTCCAATTGAGAGATTAATATCAAAGCTTCCTCTTCCTTACTGTTCCTTCCATCTCGCTTTTCTTCCTTTCTTCTTTAGGCAAAGTCAGGTAGGGTTTCACCATGCAGCCTAGGAGCCTTAACTCCCTTCCTGACTGCTTTTCCTTTTCTTTTCTTTTCTTTTCTTTTTTTTAGTTTTTCGAGACAGTTTTTAGTTTTAGTGTAGTTTTGGTGCTTGTCCTGGATCTCACTCTGTAGACCAGGCTGGCCTCGAACTCACAGAGATCCACCTGGCTTTGCCTCCCGAGTGCTGGGATTAAAGGCGTGTGCCACCACCACCGGGCCCACTTTTGCTTTTTAAGTGATTTTTTAAATTGATTTCTTTTTATTTCACGTGCACTGGTGTTTTTGTCTGTGTGAGGGTGTCAGGTCCCCTGGAACTACAGTTACAGGTAGTTGTCAGCTGCCATGTGGGTGCTGGGAATTGAATCTAGATGCTCTGGAAGAGCAGCCAGTGCTCTAAACCATTGAGCCATCTC